ACGACAAAAGTGCGATAAAAATCGAGCATTGCTTGCTATCTCATTGTGTCAGCAGATATGTAGCAGCTATCGTGCAAAGTTTGCCATATCAGATACTGGCAGCAGAAACGCAGTAGAAATCGAGCATAATGTGCCGTCACGAGGTGACGACAAAATTGCGACAGGTATATGGCGCGTATCTGCTTTATCAGCGTAAGCAGAAAAAAAGTTCAGTTAAGTTAAAAAGCTCGTAGCGCTCACCAGTTTTGTTTTAGTTTTCGTTTTTTTTGCACATCTTTTGAAATAAAGGCATAATACATAATCATATGACAAATGATAAAGTGCATTGATTATTATTGCTTTATCTATAAGGATAGAAATATCGTGCATACAATCCAAGTAAGGAGAAAGCCTTTGTTTTTCCGAGAGAGCCTTTGTTTTTCCTAACATTTTTATTAATAATTATTTTAATAAATATACATAAATTTATACATTTAAACAATAAACTGTAATAACTTTTTTTATCTGAACTAGTTGTATCATTTTGACATTACTATATGAGGTAAATAAACATTGTAATGAATTTTTTTAACAGTTATCACGTAGTACAATATATCGTTATTAAACAGATATTTTACGGTATTATATTGCGATATTAATTGTGTGATATACAAATAAGTTTCGAAACAGAAATAATTTCTTAATAAGAATGTCATTGTATATTTCTGTGATTTCTGTTCTCGATGGTATAAGAGCCTCGTGGTGAAACCTTTACCACTTCACCATATCTGAGCGCGCGAAATATCAGCTCCGTGATTAGTGAATTTTAACCGCCAATAATTTAAAAACTATTATAGCCTCGATATTTTCGTATTAGAATTTTCGTCTTAGAATGTTCCAAATCTACCAATCTACTCTTGAAAGGAAATGCGTCAGTTTTGGGACACCCTGTATATATACAGGGTATCGCAGAATTGAGGAACGAGCCGCAGTGGGAGTGTAGAAGAAATCAAGGGAAACAAAAAATCTAATATCATTTTGTGATATTCACTCTAATTTTCGAGTTATATCCGAATCAATGAGTGATGACGCCGCGCTATAGTACGGCCTACTACTCCTAGCTTATGGGCGCGCGGCGCGCGATGAGAGGAAGGGAGGGAGGTAAGGCTCTACATTCCCACTGCGGCTCGTTCCTCAGTTCTGGGACACTCTGTATATGTGTATATGTATACTAATAATATATACTAATATGACACAATATTATAAACAAAGAAGGAATCAAATAAAAGTCAAGTAGAAAACGTAGCAAACGTTAATTTTATAAAATTTAATTTAATAAATCTTATAAATCTTATAAATTTAAAATATAATTAAGGAAGAAAATATAAAAATGTATATATTTTATATCGTACATTATATGTAATTACATTTTAATTTTATAATAATTTTAATATCTTTTATTATTAATTTCTAAATCTACATGCTCTACATTTATAATACATATGATGTTGTTTATTTTATGAAATCTTTTTGCATTGGATAAGATATATAATAGATCATATTTGTAATCTATTCTCTATCTATTCTATGAAGAATATTGCTCTAAAAATCATCAAATAAAAAGACAAAGTTACTCTTCTTGCAAGTCAATAAGAAGAAACGATCTGTTAGTTTCTTGCACTTTGTATTGCATTGAGTTAAAAATCAACGTCTTCTATGGACTTTATACCTTCTCGTAATGCAAACGTCAGTCTGTTAATTCAAATTTCTTCATTAAGAAATTAAACTACGTGTGTTATGCTATAATTAAACTGGACACAGCTGTATCGCTACAAATACCATTTTATTGCAAAACATGAATTAATATAAATTATATAATAATGTAAATTTAATAGATATCTTAGATTTTCTATATTTATCTAAAGTTATGATATTTAATCTTTTCTATGTGAAAAGTTTTCAATGTGAAATAAAAAAAGAGTCACTGTAATGGCGTTTTCTTACAAAAAGTTATTTAGAGCGAAATCATTACAAAGTCAATATATCAAAATAAAATATTATTAATATTATATATAAATTAAAGAACACAGTTTGCTAGTGCTCACTTGTTTTATTTCATTAATTATATAACACAATATTGAAGTTTCTACGTGCAAACATTAATTACTATAAAGTGACTTATTTTTATTTTGATTATACACATACATGTTAATATTATGTTTATTTTTAATTATCTTCATTCATAACTACTCGTAGAGTTGTAAAATAGGAAATTATAGTCGAACAGTACTGTAATAAAAATAAATATATATTTGTTATTTTTGCGTTATAAAAACTTTTTTTACACATGGAATGATATTATTATGGAAAATAATATTACTAGAAGGATAATATTAAATTTTTTACACATTTGTTTGCAAATATTTTGAAAAATATAATACAGCAAGTTATTAAATTCTTAATTTTCAACAACACTTTTAGAAATAATTTTAATAATAACAACTGTAACTAATACAATTTTAATATACATTGATTTTAAAATGAAAATATATTACAGTTATTCAATTATACAAGGTGTTTCGTAGCACTGTCCCTGTAGTAGCACTATCGCTCGTGAGGAGGTAGACGGGAGCGAGATAAATCAAAATGTCTTATACCATTTTGTGATATTTGCAATAATTTTCGTGTTATTAAGTATTAAAGTTGCACGAATAAGAGCGCGCGCTCGCCCACCTGGCCCGTAGGACGGCCCAGGTATCGACATTGGCCGCTCGGCGATGATTGGGCAGCGCGCGACGAGGAGAAGGATGAGCCATTGTTCACGAGCCTTCTTATCACGCCGAGACTCGCGTCAACGTTATACACGCGATTATAATTATTAAATATTTTATTCTTTATACATTTAAGCTTTTTTAATAACGTAATGTTTATAGTTTTTTAATAGCAAAAAATCAAATTAATAATATAATTTCGCGAATGTAGCCTAACATCTTTCTCTCTAAAGTACAAGAATAGAGTAAATATTATCTTTAAACGACAATTGCAGTCAATACTCGAATAACATTAATATTCGATTCTCATCATTATGTGTAATTTCAAAAAAAAAATTTAAACAATTATCATTTTTTTACACTTTTTATATTAAACACGATACGACACTCAAAAGAATAGTATCGCTGATTATTTATGACTACAACTGTCGTTTAAAATGATAATATTTACTTTATTCTTGTACTTTAGAGGGAAAGATGTTAGGCTACATTCGTGAAATTCGCGAAATTAGTATATTATTTAATTTGATTTTTTGCTATTAAAAAGACTATAAATATTATAAAAATAAAATATTTAATAATTGTAATCGCGTGTATAACGTTGACGCGAATTTCGGCATAATAAGAAGCGTGAGTGGTAGTTCATCGAGAGACTAGGATCATCCTTTCCTTCGCCGCGCATTGTCCAATCATCGCCGGCTAATGTCAAACATTGGGCCGTCGTCCTACGGGTCAGGTGGGCGCGCTCTTATTCATGCAATTTTAATACTTAATAACTCGAAAATTATTACGAATATCGCAAAATGGTATAAGACATTTTGATTTATCTCGCTCCTGTCTATCTCCTTACGAACGATAGGGACAGTGCTACGGGACACCCTGTACGTTGTGTACGTTGTGTGTGTGTGAGCGCGCGCATATGTAATACACTGATAACAAATCTGTGGACATATTATTTTATAACATGCCAAATAATTAATATGGACAATATAATGATAATCATATTGATTGATTTAACTAATTTAAAATTTGTTCTTACCGTGGTAAAATAATTGAAACATAATGTCGGCATAAGACAAGCTATTCTAATCCTAATTGGTTTTTGACTTCTCATTACAATAATTTGTAGACAATTCCACATTTTAATTGATTGATTACATTGAAATGCATCGAATGCAGCTTGTGCAGTAGCATTGCTCTTATGAAAAGAGAATAAACATTTATTAAAATAATTCTATTTATAATACATTAATTTTTATAATAAATAATTTACCTTGTACATCAAATATTCAGCCGGCCAAGTAAACATAAATACTTCAGACAAACATATTAATACTAATCCGAAAAACTGAATTAGTTGCACTACAGGATGACGCTATTAAAAAAAAAAATAACATTAAACATATTTTATAATATTATATGATATTTTATATTTATAAGATCTCTAAAGGATATTTTATATGAAAAGAAAAATGGCTTTAAATTGGCTAAAATTGAAATATTTCAATTTAGATGGTGCTGAAAAGTTTCCTCTGACAACAAATTCAAACATCAATAGTATAAAAGATACGATCATTTGAAGTGAATGCTTTTAAAGTTTAACCTATTAAAGCCTATATTTAGAAGACTATCAAGAATAACTAAAAAATAATTATTGAAAATAGGACCGGTGCATAAAAAGACATTTCTGACATAAAAAGCATATTGCAAAAATCAATTTTGCAACTAATTGTTGTTGTTACATTATTAACATTATTAAAAATTGAAAAAAAAGATAAAAAAAGTTATTAAAGAAATATGTTTCTCTTTCATAAATCGTTCTTTGTTTCTATAAAAAATTATTTGTTTATTAACAATTAGTAATAACAATTAGTTGTAAAAATTTTTTTGCAATGTGTTTTTTATGTTAGAAATGTTTTTTATACTTTGATCCCATTCTTAATAGTTATTTTTTAGTCATTCTTTTAGACCTTTCTGATCTGGTTATGGGAAGTAATTGAAATAAATTTTATTAAATATTGTTTATTATTTTTTTGTATAAACAAAGAAGAATTTAAGAAAGAGTTGTACATATTTTTTAAATTATTTTTTTTTGTACAATTGATTGGCTTAATCAGTTTTTCTTTACAATTAATTTTTAATCACTTAATTATAACAATTAGTTATGAAATTGACTTTTGTTATATATTTTTTATGCCAGACATGTCTTTTTATGTTCCGATTCTATTTTCAATAATTATTTTTTGGCTATCCTTAGTGGTCTAGGCATGGGCTCTAATGGATTCAATTTCAATGGCACTTACTTCCTAAATGATAATATCTTTTATAGTATTAGATTTTTGAACTTTTTGTTAAAGGAAACTTGTTCACAACTATCTAAACTAAAACATATTTCAATTTCTACTAGTTACTACAAGTCAACTAGTTTGATCGAAGCCACTTTTTTTATATAAAATATGCGGGATTTTTACATAATATTTTATATACTTACAGTAATAAGTAAAAGCAAGACTATTATTATACAAAATGTGCTACAGCATATTGTTGTGAATGCGAAAGGTCGGACAATAAGTGCTACTTTTGCTGCATACCTAAATAAGTAAATGTCAATATTCACATAATTTAACTCTTAATTAGATTATCTGTATAACAACAGTTATAAATTTACTTGAGTAATTCTTGATGTGTTTTAATACATTTGAATAACTGATGAATATCTGTGCTACTTCTTAGCTCTTCGGTCAACATTTCAAATCTTGCCGATGTAAACCACAGTAGAAGAGCCATGTAATTATTTGTGCATAATTGTCCCGCTGTTATTAGTCCGGAGATACATTGATGCACATAAATGATCATCTTCAACGGTTGATTAGACACGTTAAACGGATACTCTGCTAATGTTGGAAAATCCTGCTCTAGTACGGAAGGTGCCACAAGTGATACAATTGTAATCAAATAGAACATAAACATACAAAAACCATAAAAAATAAGACATTTGTCGATATATTTTTTAATAATAACTTCTTCAGTCGATTTTAGTTTCAGATCGAAGTAATCTGTCATTTTAAAAGTAACATCCTGCAAATAATTATATCGTCATTAATATAATAAATATAATAGTAAAATATAATTTGCATAATTAATTTGTACCTAAATGTTATAATGTTAAATGGATAAATATTAATTACCTGTAAATGATGATAGTTAAGTCTATAAAAGATAAAGTCAAAAATGACGTGTATACAACCGCTTGCCAGAAGCAATTGTTGTACTAAAATGATAGGTTTGTTTAGATTATTTAAGGCACCATATATTAATGGTATTTCATGACACATTGATATAATAATGCATAAAGTTTGATACATCTTCACACAGAATATCTTAAATTTTGCATCTTTTGAGACCGGCCAACCCCAAACTGGAAACAGACTCAACCTTACGACGAACATTACTTCCTTCAGTATAATCTTTTCTCGCATGATTCTGCTATGATATACATATATATAATATAATATAAGTATATATAAATATAGTTAATAAGTTACAATATTATAATATAATATAAATTATTACAATGAGATTTTTAAATAAGAAAATCAATTATTAGCAACATTTTTATTTTATTAATATTAAATAACTATATATATAATATTATTGTAATATATCAATATGTGTA